GCCCCTCCCCACTCATGCTCTCTCTCTCTCTCTCAAAATAAATATTTTTTTTCTTTTGCAAAAAGGATCTTGAGGTAGGGAGATCACCCTAGATTACCCAGGTGGGCTCTAAATGCCATCTCCTGTGTCTCTACAAGAAGAAGGCGGGAGACAAGACAAAGGAGCAGAGGCCACCACAGGCCAAGGGACACAGGCAGCTCACAGAAGCTGGAGGCACTGGAGGGACTGTCCCCAGGAGCCTCCGGAAGGAGCACAGCCCTGCCAGGACCCTGACCTGGGCCTGTAAAACGGATTTTGGACTTCTAGCCTTCAAAACTGCGAGAGAACACATGTCTGCTTTTTCTGCCAGGCAGTGTATGGTGACAGCCACCACCGGAAGCGAATCTAGAAGTCCCCAGGGAGTGACTAACAAGATGGTCAGCGTCACGGGCAGAGAAGAGGCGGGGCCACCTCCCTCCGCTGCTGTGCCTGCCCCCGTGTCCAGGAAACCTGCAAGGAGACAGATCGGAGGCTTCACTCAAGGAACTTGGGTTGTAAAGTTCCGGAACACGGACTTCCAGCGCCAGCCCCAGAGCACTTGGTGCTGGTCCCCCGATGACTCTCACCCCCACCCCGGCTGTCTTCGTCGACCCAGCCGTAGCCCTCGCCTGGTGGAGTGGGGCAAAGAACGTCTGTGTGCCTGTACTCTGAGCTCAGCCTTTCCTTCGGGCAGCTCATCACCCGTGGCCGAGGCTGGGCCCACCACCAGCCTCTGTGTCCTCACCCTGCACTGGTGCCGAGTGGCCGAGCTCTAGCCAATGAGGGTAGGGGACACTGACTCACCCCACCTGCAGGCCTGACCCCTTGGGCCTCCACCGGACCCTCCTTGCTTGCCTTCACCTGCTGACCAGGTGCAAACAAGACAGTGGAGAATCCACTGGGATGTGGCCTAGGATGTGGCTCCCGGCTAGATGGGACGTGACGCTTGACTGACGACATGAGGCAGAGCCCCCATGTCGGACTGTGACATCGATGAGTTTCACTGGGCTCAACCACTGGAATCTGGGATTGTTCATTACAGATGAGCA